CCCATCTTCACCCCCCTGCTCTACAAAGAGCCCTTGGGAGGAGCTTGGGAATATGCACCATTTTAAATTGGGATTTCTTGCCCCTGTCTTTTATTACTCACAAGGATGTCATAGCTGGATTTATCTACTACTGCTGACACATCACATAATGTGATAAAAGGTAACAGGTAGCTCACTTGTACACTGATGAAACCAGCTCGTCTTTTGCTTGATCAAAGTATTTCCTATTTATACTATAATAAACAATTTGACACACTGGAGGTTTCTTTCCTCTGGTGTTAGCCTGAAGTCATTTTTCCAGGATACCGAAAACCAGCTGCTCCTCTAATTAGTACACTGAGTGCTTATTTTATTCCTCAGATAAAAGTGTCTTATGTTGTAATGAAACAGTTTGACACTCAAGTCACACATTCATCTATTTTATCGCAAAAGTCTGCTTAAAGAGCAGGCATCCCAGATAAGGCAACACATTTAATGTGCCATTTCTCTGCATTTTTATTAGCATTACTGCCAATTGGAAGAATTTACAAATAATTTCTTTTCCAGCACATAAATATATGAAATATTTTACTTTCCACATTCTGGCAGAACACTTCAGGTCACTCTCCAGATTGCAGACAGAACTGTAGGCATCTCTCATAGTCTGCGATATTTACATTCATGCAATAATTTATGTCTTAGAGTAAAGCAAATCAAGGGTATAAACTAAGGTGAGATTTGGCCTCTACATTCAGATCAAAAGCAAACAGTCAGTCCTTATAAGTACAGCAGACTGGAGAGATGCCCAGCTATACTAAACAACCTTCTGCTGCAATACCATCATGAACCATTTTTATCAAAGATGTAAGCAAAGCTCTGGCCTCGTGTGAATTTCATGCTCCAATATATGATGGAGCCACAACTCCTCGCCTCCCTTCCCCAAAAGAGGCATTTTTGCACAGAAAATCAAATCTCTTTCCCTTCTGTTTGGGTACTTTCATCTCTCCCATCACAGCAATGCTGTAACACCTTCCAGTAGTTCATAAAACGATGAGTTTGATGATTTATAAGACTCATCTTGTGACTTTGAAATATTCCAAGTAGATTCCCATTTTTCTCCCTGATACATTTTTTTTATGCCAACTATAATATATCCCCTGCAGCTGCTGCTTTCCTTTTCACTTGGGTGAAGCAGACCTTGCAGAACAGCAAAGAAGGAAAGGTGGAGAAGGCAGTAGGAAGTGCAGTGGATACTTCAGCCTCTGATGCTCTACTTCCTTCAGTGAGGACTGGCAAGAGTTAGGTATTCCCTGGAAATAAGTGCATTCAGAGAAGCTGAACGGGACAGAATGTACCTTGGAGTGTGGTCCCTTGCAGGGCTGTGGACTGTCCTCAGCCAAGGCTGAGGGCTTCACATGTGCCACCACTAATTCCCACTATTCATCCCTTACCCTATCACAGGAACCAAATATCTCCTGTCCCAGTGGCCCAAACTTGCCTCAGCTTTTGGGGTAAAAAAGCAGGTCAATGGACAACCTTGTAGTCAGCATCTTGGGAGCATTGGACAGCTGCCCCTGGGTAAGAGAAGCTGGGTTTTGATGCTTCTCAGGACAGGATTTGCGGTGAGCTTGCATCTGCCTGTATGCAGGAAAATACATTTTGCTCTGTTTTGTCAGCCCCAAGACATCCTAAAGTCCCTTTGTACTGTTTCTTAGCTAAACTTCTATCTCTTCCCCAGCCCTGCAGCAGCTTTGCCGTGCCACAGCACCGCAGCCCAGCAGAGAAGTAACCCACAACTCTCCATGTGCCATGGGTTTCAGGGCATAGGACTACCTGCCTCCTAGCAATCCCAACAGGCAGGAGTCCCCTCCTGCCATTCTGAGCCCCAGAGGACATTTGGAAGCTCTTGAACATCCTCAGCGTTACCCTGTCACATTCTGTGAGGGCAAACCCCCTCACTGCACCCATTCCCACTCTGTCAATGCCAGGGCTGCTGTCATGTCATCTGTGAAGGAAGGCTGGTGGTAACACATGGAGGCATTAAAAGCGATAAGACACCCATGAAGAGTTGCTGGGCAAAATCCAGGATGTGCAATTGCCATTTTCACTTAAGTTCAAGCAGCATTTTCTAACCAACTACATTTTATATTCAAATGCAATGAATTATGAAATGCACCTTCATTTCTGCTCTGATTTGGAGGCTCACTATGTGTTACTGAACAGCAGCACACTACAGCCCCAGAAGCAACTGTCCTTGGGCATCTCTGGAATTGATCGCTGCATTATTCACTGAGTTCAATGAGATCCTCTGTGGCAGAAGGTGACATACAGGTGTGAAACACTCCTGTCATATCAGCTTATGCTCAGCCACAAACCCACTCCAACATACAGTGCATATGCTCCTCTTAAAATGTTCTTTGTCCAACCTAGCAATCCTGCTCAAACACACAAAAGACCTAATCCTGACCTAGACAGAGCTGAGCCTCCCTATGTATCCCCATGGAAAATGGGGTTTGCAATGAAAAACAAATTCAGACCAACTCTGGTTGCTCATTATTTGAAGCCCATCTGTTAAATAAGCCATGGCAGATACAGAGACTTTGCCATCCTGCAATGAGAATGCACTCCCAAGGTAATTTCTGATGAAAACTGTATGTTTGCACTAGGTCTGCTCAGGCTGGTTCAGATTAAATAGAAACCCCTGCCAATTGTATTACCTCATTATTAGCAGACACTGGCAGCAGCCTTCCGCGGAGGGACAGAGTCTGGCTGCACTACCTGCCGCCACATCGTAATTCATGTCAGGTGCCGGGAGACGCACAGGATTACTGCCTCCCTCCTCTCTCTCCTGGCCACAGGGGACTCCTACTTGAACGTGACCTTTCATCCAGCCAAGCTGCCCTTCCACCTGATGCTGAGCCAAAGCCTTGGAAAAATTCAGCAACCCTCAGCAGGGGTACGGGGCAAGGAATGTGAGGATGCTCCTGGGGGTGCAGTGCATGACTGGCATCCCTGGGAGCTCACTGGGTTTAAGTCCTGCTACTGAATGATGCTTACACACAGTAGGAAAAGAAGAAGGAAGCTATTGTTGGTTCTCACTGCATATTTCAAGTTAAATCCCAGGAAAAAAAGAAAAGAAAAAAAAAAAGAAGACAATCCATCAGAGAAAAGTAGCCATAAGCCATATAATAACAATTCAAGCCATAGAGCATTAATTCAATTTGCAGGCAAGGTAAATCTTCCACATAATATTCCCCTATTTGCTCAGTGCCTAAGGAATTTCCCATTACCTTGTCTCTTTTTGATGTATGGCCCATTTGACCTTCACATAGCACAGACTTGTGTCATGCCCCCAAACCCTCTGCTCAAAATACTGCAACAACAGGCAGCTGAGATGTAAGAGCAATAAAAACACCCAGTGCAACCAGACTGTGTCTTTGGAACTGTTGGAACTGCTGAGCTGGAAGAGATGGAGGATCGCCTCCCGTCTCTGCAGAAAACACATCTAGCTTGCTGAAAAGTCTCAAACAGGAATCTAACACCTTCCATCTGCAGCCCATTACTCTACATTTTAACTCCCTCTCTCCGATTACAGGTCCCTGCACACTAGGACTGTATACGAAACAGTGCCAAAGTCTCAAGTCTGTGAGACTGAGAGTCAGGGAATAACTGGAGATGAATCAAAACTGGAAGCCAATTCCACAGCACTCTTTTTCCAAAAAAGCACAGTGTTTCAGTAAAAGACCCCATGAATTGGCACCATGCTGAGGCTGGCCTTTACAAACCTAAAGCAAAATCATCTGGTCTGCTCGGAAAGGCAGAACGTAACAAGGTGCAAACAATAATTTTTGGAGAAAGTGCTTTTTCAAATGATGGATTTCCCCCCAGCCCCGATCTTTTCTTTTAGGAGTGAGATCATTTCAACAACTGATCTTCTGCATCCACCAGGTTTTGCTTTACTTTGTCTGCCTGTCTAGGGGAGATGCTGAACACCCTCGAGCAGGGTGACAGCCTCTGTTCTGCTCCCCCTGGGCTGATGAATATAGTCGTACTGTGCATCTTGTGAGAGCATTTGACTTGGATATCCCAGGGAGGTAGGAGAGATTCACTCCCGCTGTCACCATCTCCCATGATCTCTGCTCTCAGCAGTCTCCCCAAGGATGCTGGCATCGCATGGACTTGCTAAGCATCCCCCTTCAGACCAGGACTGCGTCCAGCGCTCCAGTTTGATTTCATCTAACTTTGCACAGTGTTTCCACCCTGTTGTAGCTGCTTGCAGAGGGGTGGGAGAAGGTTGGATCTGCATCCCAGCTTCCCTGTACACTTCATGCATCCTTCCTGCTCTGACCAAGGACATTTTAAAGACAGCCCGTTCATTGTGATCAGCTTTGATTGTAGCTTTGCAGCAGTTAACAAGTCCTCCCTGGCTCCAGCATCCTGATGCTGCATTTTTCTCTTCCTGTTAATGGTGGGTTCTGTTTCTTTTATTACCTCTTAGCAATCGTTTGACGAGTTCTCACAGCAGGACTTTGCTCAGAATTATTCCACCCTTCTAAACTTCTCCTTCTAAAGCCATCAACACTTCATTACAACACAGCACAGCCTCCCATCCACAGCATTTTTTACTTGCAAAGAGTGGTGAGGCCATGGGATAGAGCAGAACTTCTCTGTTGGGTGCTCAGATCATCTCAGAGAATGCATCACTGGGCCAGATGCTGCCCAGGGGTGCAGAGAAAAGCTGCAACAGCCTTGCAAAAGCTGCTGTCTTCACCCAGCTGTATCAGCTGGTCAAATAAAAGATGCTCCATCTCCCTTGCGTGAGTTGCCTGAGGTTTGTCTACAGGAGGTTGATGGCTCACTATCATCTGCCCTTTCCTTGCTGTGATAAAAGGCAAAGTTTCACAGCTCTCTATTCAGACCTTTCTTGGTGATGATAAATGATCTGAGCCCAAACCATAGGCTGCAATGCACCTGGAATGGCTGCCCTCCACCAGTAACAGAGATCAACAGTGAGGACTCACCATCCATGTCAAGGCGCTGCATGATAATCGCCAGCTCCACCTCACTGGGCATGTATCCCAAGGAACGCATTGCCATGCCCAGCTCCTGCTTGGATATAAAGCCATTCCCATCCCTGTCCAGCACCCGGAAAGCTTCACGGATTTCTGTAAAGGAGAACAAAGAAAAGATGAGTTCATAAGGTGGAGGATCCCCTGATCAGTGCATCTGGACACATGGGACACAGAAGCAGCATACAGTGCCTTTTCTAATGTTAATGATGCCTATTTGATCATTTCAAGGCAGCATCATCATGATACATATACACTTGTGTGTATGCAGTCACGCATGCACACCTCTGTATGGAGATGGATATACACAAGAGCATCCACATTTACAATACCTATTTTCTGTTGTGACATTATTTATTCATTACATATTGAACTCCATTCCTCTCTGCAGCATCTGCCTTGGACTGTACCCCATCCTCATCCACAGTTAAGTCTCCCCGCATATGGCTGCACAGCAAACCCAGCCCCAGGCGTTTCTCCAGCAGCTCTTCTCCCAGCCCCTCAGCGTATCTGCAGGGCAGATTTACTTTATGTCACATGGGCAGATCAAGCTCTAACTTTCTCCAACAAAACTATGTGCACAGGGATAGCTGTGTGCTGACTGCCTCCTTTGCAGGGTTGGAACCCTGCAGCCGAAGCCTGGATGCACATGTTCTCCCTTGTCCAATGAATGTGAAGGTGTATCTTTTAAACAATACCCAGGCAATTGACATCTCTCCTTTTCACAGCCTTTCTCTAGTTTTGCAGCAATAAACAGCCTCAGATCAATAAAAATGCTGATGGCATCAAAGGAATCGCTCCCATCATTCTTCCTCAGCCTGGCTCAGCTTCCAACATCTGACTTGTCTTTTCCCCCCTCCAGCCTGTAATAGACACATTTCCTGCTCCTCACAGACCTCTCTTGAAGCCCCACCACCAAACCTCCCAGACCTGGCTGTTGCAAACGCCAGACTGAGAACCTTAACATTTCAGTTTGTTACAACCCTGTTTACTTGAAGGATTCAGTTGGAGGTGGGGAGAGAAAGAGGTGCTGATTTCTTACATTTGGTTTAACAGCCTTTGCCCCATGCTGCGGAGAGGAAAACACAGGATGCTTTATCTTACCTCTTTTGGGAATGAGGATATATGAGAAACCAGCATGCTGGGACCCACTGCAGCTTTGCTCAAAGGAGTTTAATTTTCATGTGAAAACATTTCATTGGAGAATTGGGAGGGAAAACACAGCGGGGATTTTTTATTCTGGGGGGAGAGGGGAATTAAAAACCAAAAGCTCTATTCTGTGTCAGGAAACAGACTGGATGGAAAAAGTTTGGCCAGTCCTAGGTACTTCAGGCATTAAGCCTCAGACAAGAAAATATTCGCAATCTTGCCATGGACCAGAAGCATGTCACCTCCCTCTGCTCCCTACATACCACAGAGGAACCAGCCCCCCTGCAGTGGGGCTACAGGAAAAAGCTGGAACCATAATAATCCACCAAGAAATGGGTTCAGTGATGTCTTTCTAACAAGTTATTTAGAGCTTTACAATTCAAAAGCTGTTTCTAAATCACCTCACATCAAAGTTCGCCACCTCCCTTGACAACACCAGTGCCTTAGCAAATTCTGCTCCAATTTCCACACGCTGCTTTCTGCTGTGTGTAATACCCTGGTGATGGGCCAGGGCCAGGGCACCTCCGCAACCTACTGCTAAATCTTCACCACAGATGTGGTTATCATAATGAGATATGATCAATTTTTAATCCAGTCAAAGTGCCCACTGATGCAAAAGGGGAAGATCCTATTAATTTCAATGAATATCAGGCCAGATCTATAATACCAACACTTTGGGTTTAGGGATGCATCAACTGTAGCTTCTTCAAGCTTAAAACACTTCACCTTGTCTCCCTGCCAGCCCAAGCTGGTGTAAGCTTGCTGGTATGGGGAGACTGTTGAAAGCAAGCTCGGCTGGAAGTATCGGCACATAATGCAAAGAGCCTTTGGAGTAGAAACGAATCCCATTAGACACTGCCAGCTGTAGTGAAATCTATTTTCATATGCTGTGCTGAAAGCTAAAGTGCAGTAAATATTACATCAAAATCAATTAATTTTAAAATAAAATTTTGACAGCTGAAAACGAAAGAACCAAATATATTGCAGGGAGCTGAGGAAGTGTTTTAGAAAATAAAATAGGAGTCTATCTTCAGAGAAGTTTGCATGCAAGTTAGACTGATCCAAATTGCATGAATAAATTACGTCTGTACAGGGGCAATGCTGTAGGATATCTGAACGCCAGTGAATATCTTCTCCAGATACACTGATTTCAGAAGGTGCATTTAACAGCACTGCAACCTTTGAGCCTCAACCAGAGGTGAAAACCCCACACATTTGGGGTCCAGCTCTGTTCCACAGCTCTCAGAAACCTGGACTTTTGACCAAGCCTGAGACATCTTTCACAAATCGACTCCTGACATCAAATGGAGCTGGCATTCACTCATCACTCTATAAATACCACTTGTGCAGAGGTATATTTGAAGAGCTATTTATAGGTTGAACACACTGTACACGAAGGAGCTATGACCTCAGTCAGTGCCTCCTCTTTATCTTTACATGTAACACCACCTCCTTATCATCTTTTCTTTATAGTGATTCTTTCTCCTCTCACATACTCACAGGTGCTGTCCTGCACAGCACCCATAGCGTGAGACATAGGACTGAGCATCCTTCCCAAGCACAGCACCACCAGATCTCCCCACCAGTGCTGCCAAAGTGCCGGCCCCAAATAGAGGTCCATGAACCTGTAGCAGCCTGGCTGGCCCTCACCTTTATTTCCAGCTGTTCAATTTCATTACCCAAAGCTAAAAATACATCAGCACTTTCCCCATATGGCTTTCCCAAAGAAGTCGCCATGGCAACTGATGCTTCTGGCTGAGAACTGGGAGCGGATGTGGTCCATGGAGGAAATCTGTCAACAAAGACGTTGACAGGGCTTGGGAGAAATCTTGAGACCTCTTCCATTTCGGCTGGAAGCTGCTCTGCATAGGGATGCTTTATACTGATCCAGAAAAGCAGAGCTCCGTTTTGTCTTTAGAAAGAACAGTAAAATAACAGGATAGCATGTCTTAAAGCAATGCTGTCCCAGCAGCTACCTTGCCCCTTGCCCAGCCTGGATGGCAGCAGAACCTCTACACCCAACCACGTACCTCTACTCAGATACACCTCCCCTGGGAAGTTAGTAAATATTGATATTTATTTCTCTTTCCACTATTTAATAACTTCTTTTAGTCCCAAATTTTGGCAGCTGAAACAAACTATATTGGAGGAGAAAGGAGAAAAAAGAAGAGAAAATACAGAAAGATTTAGAAAACAGAAAGTAGTCCGTTTTGCTGATGATGGCACTGGCCTGAGCCTGAAAAAACATCACTTCTTCTCAAAGAGCCCAGGCTTGGACCTGAGGGCTCTTCATCATGTCTCAATTTCTCCAGGTCCTGGGAACAGTGATATTGCTCATCTGTGCAAGGTGATTTCAACATCAAAGTGCTCACCCAACAGCCAGTGACTATTGGCAGCACTAAACCATCTCACTCCCAGAATTAATTCAAACAGTATCAGCAAGTAGTGTTGCTGCAGAGGAACAAACTCTGTCAGATGGACCATACACGATGCTTAACACTGAACATCATTCAAGTGAGCAAGGGGAGAGAAGGGATCAGCATCTGGCCCCATCCTAACTAACAACTTTGATTTCAAAGGGACAGTGGTCACAAAATTATTTATATTCCCAACTGATATAAGGCTGGAAAGAAGGACCAGGACCAAAAGCCCAGCAAAAAGGAAGGAATGCTGTGTGAATCAGATAAGATTCCAGAGCAGAAGGCTCTCACCTGAGAGTCAGCTGTGCTGAGGCAAGTATGGTGAGCTGGGTGTGAAGGCACATCCCTCAGGCAAGTTTTGCCCAATGGTTTTCCTGAGGTGAGGATTTATATTCCATGGGAGCCGAGAGCACAGCAATCACTTCTCGGAGTTATCTGAGCATTCAAAGGCTGTATGTGTGTTGCTTTTAATTCATTCTCACTCTTTCCTCACATACAACAGCTGCACCTTCCAGCTTCCCTATTACAGAGCACATGGCCATTCAATGACACCCCCCACTCCTTGGAAAGACAGAAAGGAAGAACTGTGGAAAAGGATTATTTTTTTATATTACCTTTCTGAAGGGCAAAAACAAGACTGTGTCATAGACCTGACAGCCAGCCTAGCAAGTCGTTAACTCTCTGCCTCCATCTGCATCTGGAAACACATCCTCAGCCACCCGCTCATATCACACCCACTCCAGCCCTTCCCTACAAAACACCTCTCCATGCTTCAGGCAAGCAGGACCCTGACCTTGTGCTCCCTTCCCCGGCTCATCCCTTCTCCATGATCAGTAGCAGGTTTAGTTACAGATGATTTCCCTCTGACTGGTAACTAGAGGCAACGATCATGATTTTTGTTTTGCTTCCTGAATGAGAATGAATCACGATGCTCCAGAAAATCAATTGAGCCTCAGCCATCGGGGTCCACAAACTCCCCTCAGGCACTACAGATGGTTTCAGGTTATTTCACTGGGTATAAATATCCCCACAATAAATTTTGTAATTACACTGTAACTACCACACCCAAAGTGCACAGTAATTACAATCAAGAGTCCTATATTGTTATTTTCATTAGTATGATAAGAGAAGAAATACCACCACCCAAAATCTTGCAAGTCATCTCATTCACTTAATTGCAGGTTTGGGCACCAAAGTACAAATTGAATGATCTAAAAGCTGTAAATAGCATGTCCTCGAGTGAACTGTTAAGTGAGTCTCTAACTACTATGTCTGTTTTAAAAAAAAAGTAAAAAAAAAGATGGAAATTTCCATCCCTCCATCTGCTATTCTTACGCTTGTTTTTTTCACTGCAAATTGCAACAAGGTGTCAAAAAAACTACATTTTTCATCTAATGGAACACCCCCCCACCCCCCCCCCCCCAGCATATTCCAATTGAAAGTGTCAAAATATTTCACTTGGTTCTTCTCAATCACAGCAAAACAGTTCAGCATCCCCAGATCAAACTCCTTCACCGCAGCCTGGAG